GAAACACTATTCTTACCAAAGAGATCGCTGAGCACCCAAGAATAAAGCAAAGATTCTCTAAAAAGCGATTTTTCGAGTTCGTTGCTTTCGAAGAATTGTTACATTGGGGTCTTCCACCTGACATCTCTCTATTTCTGTATTTCACACCCTGGATGCAAGTGTAAATAAATGCAACACAAAAGTTAATTCCCTGAAAAAGGCAGAGCGGAAGGCCTGGAAAAATTTGGACACGGGAATAGATTGTCTGCAGCTCTGTGTCTCCTTAGTCGTGCCACCGCACGCGGCCATCCCTCTCCGAAGGCTCTGTTAACGGGGAATGGCAGAATCCCCAATTCTAATTCTGGAATTACCTTGATGAGAGGGATCGCAAATGCACACCCTTGCCTGGTATTTAGGTTTTTGTTTGTTCCATCAAAACCAACTAAGCGGTCTTTTAACTTTGCTTAGTGCTGACTACAATTCATTGGTCGCTCAATAAATTTTGGACACCCTGTACAGAGGATTGGATATTGAGAGCAGAGGGAACACTTGAAGCTAGTAAGCGCTTGAAAACGAAATGAAGATCTAAGAATTCGGAAAATAACATTCATCTAATCTCACAATGTAGTGGATCGTAGCCACATAGTAACAGGCCTGGATGAGATTTGAGAAGTACGTTGCCACTTGAATCAAAGACAGTCGACCTGGGATATATCAATCTTGTACCCTGGGGTAAGTTGAGCCCTTTTGTGTTAGCGGTTAGCCCGCAATAGCGGATATATATACACATCACAAACAAAATATGCGAGCAATCTACTTTTTATTGAGATGAATCGCGTGCAATGGCGCATTCCGAAGCCGAAAGAGGATTCACCGCAATCACCTCTTACTCTTAAGTCTTTTTATCTTAAATCGGATCCCCATATTAATCACTTCACTTTTTGTACTACTCCTTTGTGGAATATTTAGCAATGTCTTGTAGCGGCTTGACGAGCTAGTTCAACGGTGTTTTCCCGTTTCTGAATCTTTTCACTTCTGACGCCCAGAGTTAAACTTAGAGGTCAATTCACGAAACTTAACTCGACCGGATTTCCTGCACTTATGTTTTCGCCCATTTTGGCACCTTGCTTTGCTTATCACTGTACCGTGACCCCGTCAATGCTTGATCTTTGAATTGCCATTGTTTCATCATCAAGTCATATGCAGTACCTCACGATATCTCTTTTCACTGAGGGTCCTCTCTCGTACTGAAAGATCCTCGAGGCCGGTTTTGGTGGCACCTACGTGCGGTGGCGACCTTGAATTTCGAATCCAAACCGGCGATACGTGAACCGTGATCGCATAGCTCCCAATGCAGATTGCAATATCTCCTGTTTTTAAAAGGCGCAATATTTCTGAACGCTCGCAAGTTGAAGTACTTCGGCCTACTCAATCATTTTTCGATCGCTGTTTGAATAATTTCTAGTCCATCTTGCTCTAGGCAGTGAGCACCAAGCGCTATGATAATTAAGAACCTACTCAATATGAGTTTCAATTAGCGGACATTAAGGTTGTCAGATATCATCACCTGTATCACCTGTCGTCCCGTTGATCATCGAATTGCTCGAGCGGGCGCCAGCAACGTCTCCATTCGTCCCTGTCGCGTGCAAGAGTTGTCCAGTGGACCCTCCTCGCTCGAGGGACACGATGTCCTTCATTCCTTTCGTTCAGAGCTTTCGTGAAGAAGTCTGACCATCGGGCCGGCGGTCGTCCAGGTGTTCGTTTGACGTCCCGAGGGATCCAGTCGGTAACCGCTCTGGTCCAACGGTCATCGCAAAATCGCATGACGTCCGGCCCACCTTATCTTCGATTCCTTGGCGAAAACGGCAGCGTCCCTGATCTTCGATCGTTGGCGTAGTTCGGCACTCCGGATTCCCCTCTGCACTTGCGTGTATAGGGTTACTCCTAGCATCGTCCTCTCGACAGCGCGTTGGATAACGCTGACCGCATGCTCGTCCTGCCTGCGCAGAGTCCAAGTCTCTGAGGCGTAGGTTAGGGCAGGAAGGACAGCGGAATCGAAGAGGTGGGCACGGAGCCGGATGTTCTTCGTCTTCTTCACTACTCCCTCGATGTTCTTATACGCTCCCCAAGCCGCTCGTTTCCTCCTGCTCAGCTCTGGAGCTAGATCGTTCATCATATTGATTTCCCGACCTAGGTACACGTAGCTGGAGCATTCGGTGATGTTCGTTCCGTTGAGCGTGAATGGGGCATCAGGAACCAATCCGTTTCTCATAAACATCGTCTTCGTTAGGTTCAGCTGTAGACCGAACCTTACCACAGGCGCAGTCGAAATCAGCCAGCATTCGCTCCGCTTGCTCGATGTTCGGCGTTATAAGAACGATGTCGTCAGCAAAACGAAGGTGGTGTAGTTGCCGGCCGTCGACCTTCACTCCCATGTCTTCCCATTCCAGTTGACGCATGACGTTCTCGAGAGCGGCGCTGAAGAGTTTGGGCGAGATGGTGTCGCCCTGTCGGACCCCTCTCTTGACGTCGATGATGACCTCCTTGTAGAATGGTGAGATCCTGGTCGTAAAGTTGCTGTAGAGCTCACGAAGAATCTTGATGTACTGAGTAGGGACGCCCTGGTTGCCCAAGGCTTCGATGACCGCTTCTGTCTCCACAGAGTCGAAGGCCTTCTTCAAGTCGATGAACGTGAGACAAAGCGGCATCTTGTACTCTCGTGAAACTTCAATGAGTCTTGTAACCGTGTGGATATGGTCGATCGTGCTGAACCCTCTTCGAAACCCTGCTTGCTCGCATGGCTGTCCTTCATCTAGTATTCTGCCGATCCTGTTAAGGATGACTCGAGTGAATAGCTTGTAGATTACAGACAGCAGGCAGATTGGGCGATAGTTGCCAATGTCGTCCAGGTCTCCCTTCTTGTACAGCAACACGGTCCTGCTGGTTTTCCACGGAGTGGGTACCTTGCATTCCGACAGGTAGCGCGTGAAGAGTCGAGCCAGAGTTTTGATGATGACTGGCGGCGCATTCTTCAGATGTTCCGGTTTGACCCTGTCGAGACCGGGTGCTGTACGATTCTTCACCGACTTGATGGCGTGTCGGACTTCGGAAGAGAGAACTGAGGGGACGACGTATCCATCCTGTTGCAGTTGATAAGTGGGCAGATGGACATGGCTATCGAAGAGATCCGAGTAGAAGTCGTGGATGACTTTCTCCATTGCCCTTCGGGATGCAGTAACTGTTCCATCCGGACGTCGGAGGCAGGTCATCTTGGTCTTGTAGCTGGCAAAGCTTCGGCGGGCATTGCGGATGCTCCTCCCAGCCTCTGCTGCTTCAGCTAATACTGCTGCTCTTCGCTCCTTGAGATCTTCCTTTATCGCCTCTCTGCATAGCTTCGCAAGCTCGGACGTGAGTCGGTGATTGCCTGCAGCTCGTGCGGCTCCACGCTGGCGTATCAGTTCGAGAGTTTCCGGAGACAGACGTCCCTTGGTGACTTTCAAACTCTCTGCCTTCTTGCCACAATCGTGAAGATGTTCAACGAGCCGATAGTACTCCTCGTCGATGTTTTCGATGACGGAATCCTCCCATAAGCTGACGAGGGAAGCGAAGTGATCCCAGTTGATGACTGTCCTGGGGCTTCGCTTCCTGAACTTTGAGGCTCTCTCAACACGCATCGAAAGTGGAATCTTGCGCGGAGGAGACGATGGTCCGATCCCGTGTAGAACTTCGGAACAACAGCGACGTCGGTCAGGCAAAACCTTCGATTGAAGATGATGTGGTCTATCTCGTTATGGAACTGTCCATCAGGTGACTCCCAAGTCCAACGAAGGTGAGGGGGCTTTTGGAACTGTGAGTTACCATGGATGGTGTTGGTCGACATGATAAACTCCGACAGTCTCTCACCCTGCTCATTCCATTCCATTCCGTGAGTACCGATGTGAAGTTCTTCAGCCGTTCTTCTTGGGCCAATCTTAGCGTTGAAGTCGCCGACGATGACCTTGAAGAAGGTATGATCTTCCCTGTAGAACTTCTCCAATTCCATATAGAATGCTTCGTGTTCTTCTTCGTCGTAGCTGGATGTTGGTGCGTAGGCGACGAAGATTGTCAAAGCAGGAGTTGAACCACATCTTCTCAATCTCAAACGTCCGATTCGGGTCGTAAGGCTTTCGTACGAATCGATGTTTATGGCCAAGTGCGTGTTGACGAGGACACCCACACCGCCAACGCCTCTGCTGTCGCATGTTCCAAGGAACAGTTCTTCTCCAGTATCGAAAACGGCGTGTAGCGGGCGGTGCCTTCTCGTCTCGGTCAGTCCGATGACGTCGTACTTGATCTTCCTGGCCTGCATCATCAGATCTTCGATGTGAGCTTCGGATGCAAGCGTTCGTGCGTTGAAAGTACAGATCGCCATCTTAGTCCTTCTTCGTTTAGGCAGCCTATCCGGGCCCTGAGATTCTAGCAGCCTCTCCCGAGCAGGGTCAACCGTCCGTTCGAACTGTTCGAACGAGGGGGTCGCATTTTGGTCAGGAGGGGGTCGCATTTTCGAGGACCCGCAACAAAAAATCTCGCCGGTAGCATCATTGGTCGGTGGATGGAGTGGTGGGAGGGAACGCTCACAAAAAACTTGGATCAGTCAATAACTCAATGACAATTTTTTTTTAGGTTTTCGTGCTGGTTTCTCGGCGTGAATTACTACATCGTGAAGAAATTTTTCCGTCTTCAGCAAACTTCTGTTCAGACCTAGCTTTCCCATGAACAAAGCGTGGCGTCGGTGCCGAAAATTGAGCAAGTCACATTGTGAGGGCCTTCGAAAGGAATTCAACTATCTCGTTTTACGTTATAGTTTGTTATGATACCTTAATTTTTGTTGGCATATTACATCGTGTAATAAGCGTTACATATAGGAGAATGAGAGATGATTAAAAAGTTGAAAAGCCTGCAAATGTATCACACACTGTAAACAGTACATCGGTGGAAAAGTTTATTTTCTCTTTTCTTCCTTTTTTTGCCGCTTCTCGTTATTAAGGTGGAGCCTCTTCCCTTGCCCTGGGGCCTGACGGCGCGCATGCCACTTGGTATGTTGATTCTTCAAGAAAGCATCTCATGTGCCACAAAGAGACTCGCAGATCGAAGTTTGTCTGAAAAACAAAAAAGTAAATACATACATGATTACTAATGAAAAAATAAAGTTAGCGCACACCTTCGTTACCAATTCATACTTCATCTTACAGTTTTCTATAATGCTGTTCATAATCTCCATAAGGATTTTCTGCCTCTCAACTTCCTGGTCATTAAAATTAATCCAATTCTTTCTTCCATTCAATCACTCAACGGTAGAGTTCTTTCTGCAACTCAAGTGCGGCATCCTTGCACCCCTCACATCGATCAGGCTGAAACATGTACTCTTCTTACTGTTGGCATGGAAGAAAAGGTAAAACATACCGCCAGTCGACGCAACATCTCTCTTCGAAAACTATTGAAATTCATAATAGAAAATTATTCTGCTGAAACGGATTATTGTGAAAAAATCAATTACTTTCTCCACGCCTTTGCTGACCTGAACAGGTATGAAAGGATTGAACCTTTCTGAAGGGAACACAATACATTTTTCCTTCTGAACAACTTTATCAAAGAACTGATAAAAAAGGAAAAATTACGATTTCCTAACTCCCTCGGACTGGGGTAACCTCCCCCCATAAATCCCCATCCTCAAGCGGGAGATCCTCAAACAAAAGCACTCCTGAAACAAAAGGAAAAATTACTTCCGAATATTATTTTTGAATAGAAGGAAACATACTTTAAGTGCTTTTTGAAGTTCCGCTTGCCAGTGTTTCATTTCTTTGAATTTTTCTCTGAGTTCTTCTTCAAATCGCCCGCGCAACGACGCGTGCTCGTCAGCGTTCACCAACAAATTTCTTGGTTCGCCTCTCTCAATTGCCGCGTACTCTGCGTCCATGCCCGTTCTTCCACACAGAACGAGCACTCCGTCTGAAAAGACTTTTTTATGGTAGAATTCAATTTTTAGCAGAATTGATACACACCTTTACTACTTGATCATCGTCGCTGAAGATCCCGTCACAAACCGGACTTCCTGCTGGAGTCGAGCTATCTGCGGTTGTCGGAGAACGCAAACCGCCTAACTCCGGATCAAAATAGTTTTCCATGTTGTTAAATACTCGTTCCACCCTGTCGGTCTTGCATGTTATGTTTTCAATTAATTTTATGTCCCTGTTCCTGACTATATTATGTATAAATATGTATAGCCTAGCGATGGTTTTTGAATTTTTCAATGTTAACACACCGCTACGCACATTCAGAATGAGGGTCGGCCAACCTATAATCTGAAAGAATCAAAGTTATGATGTCACGAGGGAACTAACCCAGATCAGTGAGTAATGTGACAAATCAAATGGAGGAATGCTTCATTATTATCGTTTTCATGAAGAGCACCAAGTGAAAAAATCGTAGATCTCGAAGTTTCAAGATCCTCTCTCGATCGCCGAATCATCTCCGCATCACGTCTAGTGCTTAGTCCTTGTTGTGTCATAGAATGTTTGACATAGTGTTGAACGAGCGCGTGTCCGTCATATGGAATTGGAAGCGATGTTTATACGACAATAGGGAATACTAAAGAGGTAAAAATACCTGCTTCCATAGCCTCCATCACTTTCTTCGTGAAACTATCCGATCTCGCAAGGGTCGATGGCATATGGGATGGAAGGTTAAGGCCTGGGAGTGGTTTGATCACTGAGTGGCTAATTTCACAGGCTTGATAGTAAGCACACTAGGTCCGTCTCGTTGTATCCTAAGAGTATGAAAAAAAAAGTTGAGCGGCAACTTGAAAGGAAATCTTTGAACACTTCTCAGTCAAAGAGCCAGAAAGTCTGACATCATGAGACTATCCAGAGTATCGTCTCCTAGGTTGCTCCGTTCTCTCCTTGTGAGTCTGTTGGCTTGCGAAAAGCTACGCTCTGGGTCAGCATTGCTGGCAGGTATGACAAGGATGCATTTGATAGCCTTAAAATGTGGCCTCAAAGAAGTTCTCACCTAACTAAGGACAACATCTTACCTCTCTCACAGGGTCGGGAATTTTCAGTGCATCTCCGTGGTTTAATAACGTCTGGTAAAATCTAATGCTTGTTTTGTCTTCGCGAAAATCCGTTGGCCACGTGTTTAGTGCCCTTACTGCTCCGGCAATGGTGTTGTAGAGTTCCATAAACTATTAACAGTACAATCACCTCGAAGCTAACTCTCCCACGCCGGAATACGCAATCAGTTTATTGTAGCGTCCATTGTCAGATCTTCCAGTTCTGCCATTCGCCCAGACAGTAATCAGTTCAATGGAGCACTTCTGCTGTGAATAGGATGGAGCTTTTGATGGTGTTCATCTGCCACTCACGCGGCCCGAAAGTACCTAACAATGGCGCTAAGGCCTTATCAGTACTTTGCTATCCTTAACTGGTTCTCCTAGGGCTGCATAGGCAATGGTCGTGTGTCTGCGCTTTCTTGTGCGAGTGCTCTCTTGTAATTTTATTCTCAGGGCGCGCTATTCCCTTCATTACCACGACTTATCAGAATAGAAGAGGAGCTGCTATGATTCTGAACCGAACCGAACCCTAAAAGTAGTGCCATGCGACATTGTTCCGATAACTTGCAAGCATTTTGAAAGGAATAATAAGCACTTGCCCCCATTCCTTTAGTGAGATGACGCGATAGTAACAACCTTAGTTATGAAAAGTAGAGCCGCGATGAAACGCGATGGATTGATCTGAAAATTAGAGAACACTGGGAAGATGCTGAGAGCTGGCCCTGTGCAATCGCTGCGTTTGATGAATGGCGAAACACGAGCAGCAAAGTTGCAAGCAGGTTGCAGCAAGCCCTGATGATATCCTTACTGCCAGCAATGCCCATGTATATACTTAGCCACATCTGATGTCTATTTAGGTGACCGAAAGCCCCAGCCTTCTTTCATTTCTGCTCCGGTTCTCTCTTTTAAGGCTTTTTAGCGCAGCGCAAACCTTGTTGGGGGGATGGTGGTGTGTTATGTCTGCAGGCTGTTCGGTTTTAATCATTGTTGATCTCTTGCAATTGGCCAAAAATTCAAGCCTTTTTTTGATTCCGATAGTTACCTTGTACATGATACCGAATTGGGTCTCATGTGCAAAGTTTGGCGTGGAATCGCACTTCTTAATAAGATAACAACAACTGCGTCATTCTAATGTGATCGATATTTAGGTGAATGAATTGCTGTGCTCATTTGGACAACTGAAGGCTTCGAACCTTGTATTTGATTCCAGTGGAACATCGAAAGGATTTCCGTTTGCCGAGTATCTCAACACTACGCTTACTGATCAAGTTGTTTCTTTAAGGTACACGAATTGTTGTGCAGAAGTCGCACTTAAAACTGTTTCAGGCTATTGCCGGTCACGGTATGCAGCTTGGAGATAAGCAACTCGTCGTACAGCTCGCTTGTGCCAACGCACGTAGATCTCAACCAATGGCTCACTCAGCCACATCGATTGCTGGTGAGTGAACAAATCGAGTACTAGGGGTTTCCTAACTCTAATCTCACCCCTGTCGTCACCTATGTATGAGCGCGGTGATTGTATGATTGTTTAGATATTCTGGAGGACATCGGGAAGAATGTTCAAAGTATGGCATTGTTCGGTCATTGGAAGCTTTTTGGAATTCTGTAGGATTTTCAAGTAACCTGAATCATGATTTTGATATTGAAACAACTCAACTACTGTCATGTTAATAAAATCTCGCAGCTGTTTTGTCTTTTTTCAGTCATGTTTTTGGTCAAAACTGTACCACTTCGAACGTATCTGTATGTGCATTCGCTAAGTTCTAAGGTTTAACGAGTGAAAATTGAGGAGTCATATGGGCGCATGCATAGTCGTTCGTCCGACCGTAACGACCCGTGTTGTAGCGTCGAATACTCAGGTGACTTTGACGATCGATACGCATCAAATGCTGTGCGACAGTTACGATCGTTGCAGTCGGACGACCGACTATGCTTGCGCCCTATCATCGATACGTTTCCTGTGAGAAGAAATGACGTTAAGCATGAAGGACGCGACATTTGACGGCCCGATTACATCAGCAAAAAACATCCTTGCTTTTTACTACTGTCCTTTCTGGAATTATCATTCGCTCTTTTCCTTCAAAAACAAAAACGAATGTTGTTGAAAGTCACCCTGCGGCGGTGGCGCATTTGGTGTGTACTTGGGAATTGACACTATATTTTGCTGCTGCTGCTGTAAATTTTTTTGCTGCTCCTCATCTGGCATTGCTGATTTTACCGCTTCATCAGCGGCTGCTGGTGCTCGGTCGAAGTGCTGCTGCAGTTACACGTGCGTGACGCTTTTTCGAATAGTTCTAGTTCATTGAGTCATTCAGGCTCGCTCTCCACTGTCTTTGCGTGAACCGCAGCTTTTCGTGCGCTGAGGTCCACGCAAAGACAGTGTAGAGCAGACTTTTCAGGACGGATCCACCCGATCATTTTGAACGATTAGCCGCCCTGATGAGCTCCGGAGCATCCGAAAAGCTGAACTTCTGGGATATCGTTTTCGCGGCCTTCTAGGCCAAATCTTTGCGCTTATTCTTGTTGGAATTTTGGGACTTAATATTGTCATAGTGGTGAGTTGTTGATAAAAATCTTATTTATTCTATCACTTCAATACAACTATAAATTGATGTATTTGATAAGAATATTCTTTCAGAATCGCGTCAGGGACCGTTATGAGTGCGTCAGACGACAAAATACATCGGCACTTATGTGTACCCCCCCCACCCCCCCTCCCCCCGCCCCTGACCGTGCAATTACGGACTGAAGAAAGTTGATGATGAAGAAGATGATTAGAAAAAAATTAGTTCTTATTATGAAGACTTTTGAAAAAAAATCCAATGAATTTTTGTAAGAAAAAATCCATGAATTTTTTGAAAAAAATATTGAATTTTTTTCAGAAATTCAATGATTTTTTGAAAACAATTCAATTCAAATTTCAGTGAAGATCTCAATATTCAAATGTTCTGTTCATATTTCATGGAAGTTCATTGTCCATTTGAAAACAATGAACTTACGAACTTACGAACACAACATTTGAATATTGAATTCTTTACTGAACATTTGAAAAGAATTCAATTCAAATGCCAGTGAAGAATTCAATATTCAAATGTTTTGTTCTATGTCATGGAAGTTCATTGTCTTTAAAAGGTTTTAGTTCACTGTCTTTGAAGTAAAATGAGTGAAATAAATATTTCACTTAACATTTAGTCAGCACATTCGGCACTTCCATTACCTAAGAGGGGGTCGCAACTGGACCCCCTTGAGATAAGGGGGTGACCCCCTTGAGAAAAGGGGGTCGCAAAAACCCTGAAAATGTTCGAACGTGACGGTTGACCCTGCTCCAACGCTCCTACCACGTCTGCCGATATGGGCTGCCACTCCGGTCAGGATGCGGCCCATCCAATGACTGTTTCGGCATATTGAAGGCACACGAGTAGCTTGCCAGGCTCTGTCGTGCGGGCTAGGATAGACCTCCAGGTAGTTAGCCACGCTATCCTGGAGCGGAACAAGGGGCTTATTTCTTGGAGGCGGCCCCGAATCGCCTCCCATGTACTTCCCAGTCACTTGAATGCAAGCTTTTGGCTGTGCCGACATGCAGGATACCAACCGCACACACACAGAGCGCACCACACACGCAAGCATGCATGGATGCGCCTGAGTGGAGACAGCTGGTATGAATCAACACAGCACTACAGAAACAGGGAGTCCATCCCCTGAATCCACCTGCGTCTCAGGGCAAGTACATGGTGGCTTTTGGTCCGCGATTTACCCCCTATCCGCCACCTGGGGTCGCGCCACGTAGCCTCGCCACCAACCGGCTCGAGATCTTTCAGTGAGAGAGGACCCTCAGTGAAAGAGATCCGTGGAATGAAATATGATTGAAATTGCAATTCAAAATTCGTATAGCAT